GGATTCACAACTCGGCCAAGTTCACAGCTGTTGGWGGCAAACCAAACTTGAAAGGTGTTATAAATATTTATGCATTGGATGAAAATGACATTCAAACCATTCAAGAGTATGAGAAATCAGTTGCCATTGAATGTGCCACTTTTCAGTCAAGTTCTATCGATAAAAGGCACTTGGCAGTTGGAAACTATGAAGGCAATTTAGAGATTGTAGACTTAGAGTATTCAGCTAAGTCACTTTATTCTGTAAAAGCTCACCAAGGCCTTATATATTGTATTGATGGTATTGGTGGGCTTGGAATTGGATGTGGAGCTCCTGAATTAGTGACAGGTATTATCATTATAATAATTGTATTATACTTATAGTTTATTATTAATTTAAACTGTATTTTTGCTGATTAATGAAAATAACTGTTTAAGGTGGGAAGGATGGTTCAGTGAAAATATGGGATCCAAGAGAAAAACTGCCAGTTGCAAAAATGGAAACAGCAATAGGTGCTACTAAGCGAGATTGTTGGACAGTAGCATTTGGAAATGCTTACAATTCAGAAGAACGAATTGTTTGTGCTGGTTATGATAATGGAGACATAAAAATGTTAGACTTAAGAGCAATGGCATTACGCTGGGAAACCAATGTAACAAATGGAGTTTGTAGTTTAGAATTTGATAGAAGAGACATTCAAATGAATAAACTAATAGCCACAACAATTGAATCACATTTTTATGTATTTGATATTAAAGTTCAACATCCTACAAAAGGGTTTGGTTACATAAAAAATAGTGTACACAAACATACTATTTGGACTGTCAGACATCTACCACAACATCGAGAAATTTTTACCACTACTGGAGGAAATGGTTCAATATACTTATGGAAATATATATATCCTGAAGATAGATATAAAACTGAATCTGATGGTGACAAGATAACAAATCCAGGAAAATTACAACTGAGATTCAAAATCAGTTAATATCAACACAACCAATCAATAATTTTCGATGGTGTCCCAGCAAATTAGGTCTAGCACTGTGTACATCATTTGATCAAAACATTAGGCTATTAATTCTCACAAAACTTAACTTGTATTAAGGTTATCATTATCATTAATTTTATTATTATTTTTTTAATATATAATATTTTTCACTTGTATTACTTGTTTATGAAGTCGAGTTAGCATKCCAATTGAAGGAGGTGTTGAATGATTCCTTGAATTAGACCGCACATTTTTCAAAAAATCTCTTTGATCTTCAGGAACTTTTTTCAAAATTATTTGAAAACAATCATACAATGCATCATTTGGACTCATACTGATACTAACACTTTTAATCGACTAATGAAAGAATTCCAAATTTTATTTAGTTTTTCGCATTTTATACAAAACAATATAATATATAAGAAATAAGTACTTCAAGAACGTCTTCTAAAGCTCCTTCAGATTCTAACTTCTCTGTATTGAGTTTTGACAGTTTGAAGTATACTTTTCTCAATGTATAATCAATTTGACTAGATCGCCATAATTCTCTTGGAATGTCCACTAATGCAATACCCAACAATAATATCAATAAAAACAATCCCCATGTATTGCTAGCAGATGATGCGATAGCTTTTAATTTTTGCCTAAAAAAAATTTAAAAATAATATTTTAATATTGATAGTTATTCAAATAACAAAATAAATTTTCTAAAATTTTGAAATAGCTAAGTTTAACCAAGGCTTACAGTGTGTAGATAACATTTATTTTGTGTTTAAATTAAGTTTAAAAAAACTTAAAAAGGAAATTGAAATTTGCAAGACAAATAATGCACACCTATGTATTTATCTAATAACTTATAGTTACATTTTAAATCATAATTTTATTAAACTTAAATTATGAATAATTTGAAGTTAAAATATCATTGGAAAATTACATTCAATGATATTATAAATATAATAATTAGTAATAATTTTAATATTTATTACTTTTTTAATTTACATAATACTCTTGTTATTTATAGTTCCATACCATCTAATATCTATAAAATTATTATATTAAACTTACCAATCTAAATGCACTCCTGGCTTAAGAGCAATGTAAATTATAAGTATTGTAACAATTAACAATAATGTACTATAATAGAGTGTATTGCTTTTAATAGCATTTTTTAATTTGTCCTTCAATGTAAATTCTCCAGATTTCACATAGTATTGCATAACTGGCATAATAAACCTAAACATATATAATTTTAAATAACAATATGCACTATACATTTTTAAAATAAAATTATATTAAGAAAAAATAATATATAACAATTGAAATAGAATAACAGTRATAAATACAATAAAAGCGAGATCAGTGGAATTTCACTAATTTAAGACACTTTGATACACATTAAGTGTTTCAGAGGAATATCTATAATTTGGAAATAATTCTTATTGTAACTATTAAGAGGAAATTAGTAAAGATTAACTGTAATTTTTATCCAAGAAAAATAAACTAAGAATAGCAAACCTGATCTTGCCAAGTTTATTTAGTCAAGCTGTATTGATTAATTGACTAATAACTAAATAATGTGAATGAGTTTAATCCAGTGTTTTTTTAGCAAACTTTCTCGGTATTTAGTTTTAATTGAGGTTTTAATTTTTAGTAACAATTCAAATAATATGAAAATTCTGCGTAAAGCAGAAGTTTCAAACTTTAATAATAATTTTTATGATAGCTGATGAAGCTTGCCTAATTTTAAAAAATTGGCTAAAWTTGCTTAGATTAGTATTACTATTATGAATATCTATGTGATAGTAATAAAAATAATATTTGGTACAAATCCTCCTAAAATCATACTCTTAGTTTACATTTTTTTTTTTAAATATTATAATGACATTGAATATGTTATTTTTTCAGTTAAAATATAATAGTTTAATTTTATTGTTTYAATACTTTTGATTAATTTTCAAAATATATAGGTATATGCTATTAGTATAGTATTTTAAGAGTTTAATAATATCTTTGTTAATAACCACATTCCACAATGAATTTTGTTATATGTGTTTATCAAGCAATTAMACAGCAAAATAAGAAAATATAAAGTATTTAAAATTATTAAACTCGTTATTAAATGTTCAGCATACCTATYCATAATTTATTGTAACTTATATGGTGTACGATTACATACCATGTTAGGAATTGGGAAGTCCAATAAACAACTCTCCACATTTTTGGTAACGTAGATTCTGGCACATAACTCCAGGGTTTATTACAGGCTGAYAATTCATGACTAGAATTTGTAGTATTATTGTTATAATTATATGCATCTTGAACACATTTACGATAAGCTGCCTAGAATTCAATATAATGATCATGTATTAAATGTTCAAATATTAGTCACCTATTTAAATACTATATAAAAATATATCTTTTAGTCAGAAAAATATTTTGGTAATAGAAATAAAATTGAACGAATATTTATTAATTTAAAAGTAGATATAACACTGTATAATTTTATGTTTATAATAATCTAAGAACTTACCAAAGATATATCGATGGGAAGAACGAAGATAATTAAAAGAGAAAAATACCAAGCAATGAGTACAGCTATTGTAACGACAATATTTTGAGTTTTCCAATTGCCATAACGGTTAAGTAGCACCGTAGTTAAAATAAAAGCAAATATAACTTCAGCGCTAAATATTCCTACTGTCATTTTAACTAATCTAATCATCTATTTGACAATTTATTTTCTGCATCAGATTGCATCTTTTGTAATTTTTCTAATGTCATGGATTTTAATGGCATTAATTTGGGTTTACATAGTATCAGTTGTAGAGATTCCCTGTGATGTAATAATCCAACTTTTGGTACAAAATGTTTTATTGATATGGAATTTTTTAAAACTGTTGTATTATTTTCCACTGGTGGTTCAGAAGATGTTTTGTCATCCTGCATACCAACTAAAATTCAAACAAATATATTATACAACTATAAGGTCTGTCCAAAGTTAAACCAACATTGGTCAATATTTATTACATAAGCCAAGGATAATCTTTTGGAATATTAAATAAATAAGTTAATTATTGCTARAAAAACTTATTCTTAAAAAAATATAGTACAATGTGAAAAAATTTACTCATTACAATTCACAGTGMTAACACAGTTAGCAACGAATTGATTTTTTTTGGAATTCTAAATGAATAAATTTAAAAGTGGCTGACAATAGGCAAAAAAAAAATAATACTTCATTGATATTAAAAAAACATCGTCAACTTACCGAATTATAATGATTAACAAACTGAATCTGTTAACAGACGACAAAACTATAAATCAAGCAGGCATTAAGTTTGTGAATAGGACTGCTTCAAACTACTTAGTCCTCCTCAATTGAAAATACAAAAATGCATTATTTTTTTAATCCTTTGATTTCGTAGATATTAGATAAATTCAAATTGTATTGAAGTTTWWAAAAAAAAATTATAATCGTCAGTCAAAGTAGTCATACATCGGGATCGGGTTAAACAGACAACAAATAACAACAATATCAAAGAACAATGATAAAATATTAATTATTATTACATTCTTATCTATAGACAAATTTTGTGACTACCACATTGTAAATACTAAAGTTATTAGGAAAGTAGGAAGCCGTTTTTCCGTTTTGTTAGTTTTCCGTATGACACAATTAAGTGTTGGCGTTTGAACTTTTAAATGATTTAAAAACTWAGAATATACAACTATGAAAGTATCAACATGTCCTAAACACTCAAGTCCTACACGGTTACGATTTTACTTGGAAATTCCTAATTTTTATTATATTATACTAATTACAACATAACATAATAGGTAATGCATAAAGTTGGCAGTATAATTTGCCAAGTTTGATAAAAGAGTCCTGGTAGAGCAGCAATGCTGCAGTATTAAAATTGATAAAATCAAAAAGTTAATTTTTTTTCTTATCACTTGGGAGAACTGGGATATCATCAATTATCCAATATCCATGATAAACGACAAACGTTAATATTGATATATATTTTTTGATATTCAGGTTTTTTCTTTTCTAAAATTATTTTGTATATTTCAAATATTTCAATATTGAATATTCGTAATTCTTATACCAATTAACATAAAGAGTTACTGAACTTTTATTGATTTGTCGTATTTGATCTCATGTTAGTATTAAAATTCTAAACAGGTATGTAGTATATGGTAGTATTTTACTTGTATCATGAATTCATGAATTATAATATTAACTTTCACCATGTTATATTTATCATAATACACACTACGATGTTAAATAATTCACAATTTTTCTCGAAACTAATAAAAGAATTCAAAATCAGGAAATTATTAAAAATAAAATTTTAAAACTTCAATTTTTGTAGTAAAATAAATTTTACAAAATGGCTATAGTCAATTTTTTTAAATTAATTAAATAAAAAACGTATTTTTAACTTTTTTATCGAAAAATTAAAATATGAAATAATTTTAGTTCCATCCCTATGAGTCTTATTACAAAACCAGAATTTTGATATCTCTTTTATTTCAGGAAATATTGCAAAGTGTAAATCCTTGCAGGTTTAATTTTTAAAAAAGACTTTCTTKTATGATCCAATATTAATTAATTGTAATAAAATATTTTTAATCTATAAGTAATCAAACAAGTTTATGTAAATATTTCAATATATTGATTAATAAATAATTGTAAAATGTACCTAACACATATCTCTTAATCACTAATCTCTGTAATGATAGTTATTGTACTGTTATGTCTTTTTAGTAGTAGCAAGTATAAGTTATAATCATTAAATAAATATTAATATAAGAAAATATAAAAAATAAATTGAATGTCAAAAGTGTAAGTATAAGTGTTAAATGTACACGTGATATGTTTACAGTAGGGAAAGGAACGGGAATCTCCAAACTTCAACTCTTGGGCAATTTTATATTGGCCCGCTAACTAAAACAAATAAACTATTAAAGAATAATTTATATTATTTTGTTTTTTGTTTATTTTTTTATATTGACCTTGAATAATGAAGTTTGAAGACCTCTGTCTTAACTGAATATGTCAAAAGGGGTTATAATTTTACTAAGAGAATGTGTTATAATTGCTTAAAAATCTATGATTGTGGTTTAAAATTCACAAATTATTGAATTGCAAACATACAATTTTTTAAATAATTATAAAAAATTATACAAAATTTAAAAATATATAGGAACTCATTGAAACATTTCTTTATTTTTAGATATCTTATTGTAGTTTTAGGTGGCAAATATTTGTTTTTAAATCTTGGTCCCACCATTTTTATAAACTCCTTATAGAAATTCAGAAAGAAAACTTGGTAGTGATTTAGTTCTACAGAAAACAAGATATTAGYATTTTTTCTTTTATAGTTAAAATATAGGTTTGTAATTGGTATCGTGTCTTACATTTATATTTTATTTGTTTTTAGATAATACATATTTCAATAAAATGGATGATTCATCAGATTCTCCAATTGTATGGGAGAGTGAATCTTTAGAAGAAGAAAAACAAAAATGGTTTATAAAACAACATATCATGTTTTTAATTGATGCTTCAAAACCAATGTTCAATACTTATAATGACACAACTTTTTTTGCAGCAAGTATTGCACTTTGCAAAAAAGTAGTTCTGAAACTTATTAAAGAGAGTAGAAATGATAAAATAGGTATATTGATATACGGTACTAACGACGAAAATATAAAATGTCCCAAGTATATTAATGTGTTATCCAAACCAATGAAACCTAATGTTCAATTAATTAAAATGCTTGATGATATACTTACTGCTAAACTTATTAAAACTGGACAAGGTATTCTTTCACCACTCTCTGATGCAGTATGGTATGGTAACTATCTTATAAAAAAATGTAGTGAAAATCAAAGCTGTAGTACTATTATGCTCATAACATGCAATGATCAACCTGATATAGGCGATTCTAAAAAACAATTCCATCTAAGAACAAGAATCGATGATGTGATTAAAAATAAAATTGATTTTAAGCTTATACCTATTGGTACAACATTTAACATGAATCTTTTCTATGAAGGTCTCCTTAAGAACTTCCACAGTATCTCCAAACCCATCAATGGGTTAGAAAGTATAGATGATATTATGTTTGAAATCAATGACAAATTGAAACATGGTAGAAGTGTATCTAAAATAAAATTCTTTGTTAATGAAAACTTTTATATATCTACTTCATTATACAGATTTTATACAAAATCAAAAATACCACCAAAAGTTAAGCTGGACAAAAGGACTAATAAACCATTAACTATTGATACTCAAGTATTTACATTAAACACTAATGAGTTAATGTATAAATCAGATCAAGCTAAATATTTGGTTACTGCAGAACAAAAAGTAATATTTAAAAATGAAGATATAGCAGTTCTGAAAAATGGTGTTATAGAACCTGGTATTAAATTACTTGGTTTTACAAACAAAGAAAATATTATGATATTGTATCATTTTAAAACTTCTATTTTTCTGCGCCCTAATAATTATATTGTAGAAGGTAGCACACGTATGTTTAATACTCTTCTTGAATGCTGCTTAGAAGAAAATAAATGTATAATGTGCTTCATAAAAATTCGGAAAGGAGGAAAAGTTCATTTATCTGCCCTGATACCTCAAGCTGAAATTATAAACGAAACTGGTACTCAAAGCCATCCTTCAGGATTTCATGTAATATTTTTGCCATTTCATGAATGTTTGAAACCAGTAAAACCAACAAAAGACTGTAAGTCGTTAGAGGATACTCAAATATCAATAGGTAAGAAAATTTGTGAAAGCATGCCCATCAATTATTATCCAGCACTGATTAAGAACCCTAAAATAAACTTTCATTGGGCGATGTTAGAAGCTATGGCATTAGAATCAGAAATACCAGAAATTTTAGACGAAACACTTCCAGCAAATGATGTTTTTGAAAAAAGTTTGAGTACAATAAAAAATGATATACACAAATATCTATTCTCCAGTAGTGAAAATCTGCCAAATCAATCAACCATAAAACCAAATTTTAGTAGTCAACGCGTTAGTGGAAAAGAAAGAAAAAGAAAAAACTTGCAATAATTAGAAGAAAACACAGTAATGATCAAGAAAGTTTGAAACATTTTAAAGTAGGAATCAATTATTTTTATAGCAACTACAGTACCTAAAGATTACAATACAGTTAAGATATTGTGATGTATGATAAAGTTTTTTTGTAGGTTCTTTTTATATTTGTATAAAATAATTAAATTAATATGTATTGTCTATTCTATAAACTATTAACATAAAAAAACTATTTTTATTTGTATTATTAAATGTATAGAAAGTGTATTATTCCTTTCCCACCATAAAGCTTGCATTTGTAAGAAATCATTATTTAAAAATATCTAAAATATGTTTTAATTGTATAATTTTTTCAACCAAATTCGATGTAATGATTATTTTTATTACATACCATTTTAAATATTTCGAACTAATAATACAAACTTATAGTACCTATAGTATAAATACTAAAAGAAGATGATATTAATATAATAATTTAAACTGTATAAAATATAATTTTTTGATTTAAAATCACTAGGTACTTACAGTACCAGTGGCATTTATTTTAGCATGTTCAACTAAATAATAGCTTTGTTATAGCTTATAGTTATAAAATAAAAAATGACTTGAAAATGTAATGTAAATCTAGTTACCGGTAAGTAATATAAAGTTTTTAAAAYTGCTCAATTCATCCTCCATTTAAATTTTTGTACTAAAATTAGAAACAATTTTAAATTCCAACAATTATTTTTGAATTAAATGTTGACACTGTAAACAACAAAATTCAATATTTATTGTTCTGAGAGCTTTCAGTATTGTTTACTAAAACATTGAATAATTTTTAAAAAATCAAAATATTTATTTTATATATACTTTAATAGTAATAATTATTACCATATTACCATTATGGCTTAGTTTGAAACTATTAAATATACCTATCATTATTCATAATACAATATCACATAGTTATTTTATTTTATGATAAAACAGTGCATAATTCAAACTATAAATATAATAATTAACAAATGTAATAAGTGATGATATCATCACAATATTACAGATAATAAAACATAATAACATCATAATAATAATCGCAAAAATAATAATTGTAATAGTAATTGTGTAGGTACAACAATTACAGCCAACAACCAAGTGTATACTAATGGAATACTACATATTATTTTGTTAGTACCTATTTGAATGGATACAAATACCTGTCATTTGTCAATAAATTTCAATTTTATTACCCAACTAATATTTGACTGGTTTAACCAAAGTTCAATTTATTTAAACTTATATAAACTAGATTAAAAATAAAAAAATATTATATACTAATTATATTAAATATAGA